TATCTATGAAAATGACCACTTTACCCCTCCCTTCTTCCTCCCAAATCCTCTCCTCTCCTCTCCGGTCACGGCTCCGGCATACCGGTCGACGCTCGGGGATGAGAAGCAGCCCATTTCTTTCCCGACCCCAAAATTGATGACTCTTAACGACGTGAGCGCCACCTGCAATTGCCCGCCGCCCACCGGCGCCGTGTGTCTCCCGCCGCGGGGAAGGCGCAGGCGAGGCGAAGGTACCCGCACAGTGGGACAGGGCCGGCTGAGGTGGCACTAGGGCAGATACAATTTGAGGAGCAGCGTCTTGAGCCCCAAGCCCAAGTGCCACATCCTCGGCAGGGATGTGTCGGGCTATTTTTTATTATTATTTTATGCTCTGGTGGGACGGTAAAGAATTGGTTTATCTGGTTTGTATGATGAGTAAGCCCATTACATATTTTAAGACCTTGGCGTGAGGTATTTGTGCTAACTACCATATATTGCTTGTGCAGAATGCGTGTGAGTCGAGCAAGAAGTTCTTGTTATACTTGCTCAAATATTATGCGAACGAAGCTAAAAACAACATTTATGATATTGTGCGAGAATTTCTTAAGCACATCATGTAGATCTTAATTTGTAACAGATTTTTAGTTGGATAATCAGTCTATATGTATACATCTTCAAATTGCCTTTTTGTTATCAATTTACATTGCAAATAAATTGTACCTCAATTGCAACCCGATTGTGTTCGTGCTATATTTTCTCTAATATGTGAAATTTAACATGCATTATGTTTATATAACTCCAGCAAAATACTACTACCTCCATTCCCAAATATAAGTCTTTTTAGAGATTCCAACAAGTGACTACATACGGAGCAAAATGAGTGAATCTACACTCTAAAATATGTCTACATACATCCATATATTGTACTTCATTTGAAATGTCTAAAAAGACTTATATTTAGGAACAAAGAAAGTATTTCAGAAGCCCGTGGCAACACACGTGCATTCTACTATTTGTCATAAAAAACGTTCGTTTTGCCATGTGCAGGTACTTAACATTTCCATAAGAGTCAATTACACCGATGGTGCTATAACTTGGCGTAAACGATCACTTTGGTGCTAGAAGTTGCGGTGTACATCGAAGTGGTGCAAAAACTTGGCATTGACGTGCAAATACAGTGCTTATCTTTTTTGTATGCGTAATCGGTGCTGACCAGGTGCGTGGGGCCCGTTGTCAGCCACTAGACCATAGAAAATGGACGTATGGCCTGAATTTTTCAAAACCACCCTCGATTTAAAAAAAAAAATCTGTTGACGTGGGAGATTTTGTCACCTAAGAAGTGGGGCCCGCCTGTAACTTGAGAGCAAAAACTAAATGGCAATGACGTTGGTATCGAGCACACAACCTCGCCTATGAAAGAGATCTGGCTTACACCACTCAACCTGTTCCGTTTGCTTTGTCATTACGGATAACAACCATTACATACTTGATCTAGGCGCAGGCGGAGGTTAATTTTTTCTTTTGAGAATATGGCGGAGGTTAAATTAGCTACGGATCTTGCGGCCCATTCTGCACCTGCTAGTTTTTTTCTAAATTTTTATGTAAAAAGTATCCAAATTATACTCTCAGTAATAAAATTAACGTTCCCTCAAAAAAAGTAATAAAATTAACTCATGAATATTTCTGTTTATAAATATTGTACATACAAACAGAATAAATTACATTTATACAGTCACATATTATTTAAAAATACTAAAATATTTAATAATATTTATGAATTATAATTTATTTGCATAACTTATAATAAAAATGTACTATTCAAAAAATTATTTAAGTTATACAGCATTTCAATAGTTATACACACGTTTTTATAACTAAAATATTCATAATTTATACTTTAAACTGTTCATATGAATATTCATTTCCTATATTTAAATAATATTTATGAATTATAATTTTTTTGCATAACTTATAATAAAAAAGTACTATTCAAAAATTTATTTTATTGAGACAGCATTTCAATAATTATACGCATGTTTTTGTAACTAAAAATATTCATAATTTATAATTTAAACTGTTGATATGAATATTCATTTCTATAATTTAAATATAAGACGTGACTGTATAATATTAAGTATCCGTTAAACATATTAATTCTTATATAATGTCCATATTAACTAAATAATTTTCATATCATACACGGATATACATTTAAATGTTATTATTTAATAATAATGGTTTGTCTGTATAATATTTGTATCACAAATATTTGAAACATAACTTTTATTAAATATTATGCGTCTGTTTATCCACAGTGACTCTGCGAGCGTGATGGCATGTTGGTTAGACAAATTGGTATCTAGGTCTTGATAGTGGGCTCGAGACCAAGCGAACTGGCCTCACTTTTAGTTTAATTTAATTTTTACTCTCTTCTGACACACGGGACCCACTGGTCATAGAGGTGAAAAAATGCCACATCAATAGTTTTTTTTGAGAAAAAAATATATCTCGAGGTGTTTTTCAAAAAAATCAGGCCACACACCCGTTCTCTCTGGCCCAGTGGCTAGCAGCAGGCCCCACGCGTCTAGTCAGCACCGACTCCGTATATAAACGAGATAAGCACTGTATTTGCACGTCAATGTCAAGTTTTTGCACCACTTCGATGTACACCACAATTTCCAGCACTAAAGTGACCATTTACGCCAAGTTGTAGCATCACCGGTGTAATTGACTCTTTCTGTAAATGCATACCCCCTCTATTCACAAATATAAGGTCTTTTACTAACTTTTTGTCGGAATTGCATGTATATATCCACGTTTTAGTGTGTTTATTCACTCATTTTAGTTCGTATATCGTTCATATTGAACGGAGGGAGTAGAAAGTAGAAGATAAAATAAAGAGTCAACATGATGGAATTTTGCTTGTTATAATGATAGGGTTTTTTTGCTTTTCTTTTATATACTAATATTTTTTATAAATAAACAGGAGTAAGTCTGATATCTACGAAAATGACCACTTTACCCCACCCTTCTTCCTCCCAAATCCTCTCTATCTCCGGTCACCGGCTCCGGCAGCCCGCTCGGCGCTCGGGGATGAGAAGCAGCCGCGCGAGGGAGAAACTCCCAATCCTCCCCCACCCAAACCGATGGCCCTCAACGACGCGAGCGCCGGCCGCAATCTCCCGCCGCCCACCTCCCCCGCGTGCCTCCCGCCGCGCGGAAGGCGCAGGCAAGGAGGAGGCACCCGCACGGCGGGATAGGGGGCCCGGCCGAGGTGGCACCAGGGCAGATGCAATGTGAGGAGCAGCGTCTTGAGCCCCGGCCGGCCGGACATCGGCATCCCCAACCCCAGGTATACTGTACCTGCATCTGTCATTCTCTACACACCAAATTTGTGGTCGAATTCGTTCGACTTGATTGCGACTCTGCCTACTGCAGCGGTGGCTACCTAGGTGACACTGTAATTTGTGCTCGCCCTGTTACTGTTAGGATGCTGGGAGATGGTGCACACAATTCCTTGGCAGCGTTATGGATTTGAGATGAAGAAGAAGGGGGAGAGGTGATGCTGGCAATTCCTAACGCCTACAATTCAATCATCTGGTATTATCATGTGGAGAGGAGTATGTTTGGAACATTTCATTTTGGCAGCCATCTCTTTTGAATCTATCAGCTGGTTCGTGTGGAGGAAGTTCGATGATGGGGATAGCTGGATACTGACTGCAAAATGTTGTGGACTAATAATTGATTTTCCCGCAGCACGATGGATGGAGAAGTCTCCGGCTTGCCCCGTTTCTTCTCCTTGATGACTGAATTGGCACTTCTCTGGCTTGGGCTTTACAGTAGGATACTTCCTGAACCACAGAGCCAACTGTATGCAAATATTTATTCTGTGTTACTTGATGGTGGCAAAGAAATAATGGTAACTGATGCTCCCCTTTTCTACTATTCATCCCAGTCAATATTTCCATGATTGTGTGGATTTTGGGTTGCAGAAGCTGTTGGTTGTATAGCAAGCACATATTTTCTTCATCCACATAAACCTCTCACAAGTTCCTTTTATGCTCAGGCCTTTTTCAGTCATAAATAAGTGGCACTGAAGTCAAGAAGAAGTTTCAACTCCCCTGTTCCTCTAACATATGTCTGAGCACACACACACACACACACACACACACACACACACACACACACACACACACACACACACAAAATATTTAACAAACACACTCCGTTAG